ATTATTATTTTAAAATAAAAAATTATATACTTAATAAATAATAGTGCTCTATCATCATTTAAGTGACATAGAGAGTAAAAAAAGCTGAAAAGTAAATTTTAAAAACTTAAAAAAGAACCTTTTATCAAAATAAATGTATTAAATTGAAGTTTTAATCTTTTGAAATTCAACTAAGAAGGATCTGATTTCTATCACTAAGCTGGACTTAGCCTGATAATAACATTTCAGCCCTTCAAACAGAATTGAACAGAATAGAAGCCCTTTTTTTGGTTAGGAGTTTAATTTATAATTAGTTTTGAAAATATGTAATTAGTTTGGAAAATAAGACCTGAAGAGATTGCTATGTCAGTGGTTTAATTTATTCGTCAAGGTTTCTTTTCAAAATTTAGATGCATATCCATCAAATATATGTAAAACAAATAACAAAAGCATAACTTGTAACTTAAATTTATGTTTTCAATTGAGTACATATTGTCATTAAATTCAAATAAACTTGATTTCTTTTTGGCAAATTTTCGCATTAACCCCCCACATTAAATGAAAGCTTAAAATTATACTCTTTTTTTTTTGGTTTTAAACTTGAAAAGTAGGAGGGGATTAATTTTTGGAGTAGAAACCAAGATATTTTGAAAATGTTTGAATGAGCCAAATATTGATTGAGTTTATAACTAATTTTTGGGGGCAAAAATGAGACAAAAATTTAAGTAAAAGTTTGAATTATGACTGTTGAGCTCCTAATGTATAATTAAGATTTTTTTTTAATGATGTTAATGGAAAGAAAAACTACTAATTTGTTATTAAAAAAATGAATATTTTGTGAAAAAAAAAAATGATTGAAAAAACCAATAGTTTTTCATAAGAGTTAAATTTTATTTTTGACACAACAAAAAATTTTAAATATCCTTTACCTATTTTTTTTAATGTCTAATAAATTTATTTGACATTAAACCCGTCTTAAAGGACCTCCCATTTTTTTCATTTTCAAGCCATCAATCACATATATACTTAACTCGGAGCTCTTAGTCGGACGTCCTCTTCAAAATAGGGGAGAAAGCAAGATATCTGAAAATATAACATAACATGCATGATTAATATTATTTTTACACAATGAAAAGGTACGTTAAGTTTTAGAACAACAAATTAGGTTTTCTTTTTGAAACAAATAAATTACAATTACTATATATATAAATTTTTGGGAGAATCAAACCACAATTTTAAATATAAAAATAAATTAAAATAATTAACAATAATAAGTTTAAAATACTGTAATTGAGTGGGCAAGTAAGATGAAAACCTTAAACCATTGCAGTTCTCTTTGCATCTGCAATGCAGTGCTGGAGATTCGGGCAAGTTGAGAGGGAGGAGCTATCTCCCCTGCCACATGTAACATATTATTTTCGTTTCTATCTGTGCTATTAAGAAAGGGGAATCTCCGTGCCTCAGTGCCATATAGGAGGTTGAAAATGTTTTCTTGACGATATTGGATTGCTATCATGAAAACGTTTCTTCGATGTTTATCAACGAAATTGATTGGTGGGATTACTTTCAATAGCTCAGCGACGAATTCAACGATGCCATTCTTGGTCGCTTCAAACATTGCTTGACACACTCCACAATCCTTAAGAGCTTGAACTTTTAATGTTGAAATTTGGTCACACATGCATCGAACAATCTCATGGGAATAGAGATGCGTCAATTTCAAATCATAAATTTGTTTGATTCCTAAATAAATTAAGAATCAATAAACATATACAATGAAATGCATAAAAATAGAATAATAAAAGTATAAATGCTAAAATACGTGAAAAAATAAGCTTCATAGTTGAGGGTGGGTTACCAGAGATAGTTTGAAGCATTAAGCTCAATTTAAAGCGTCCACCAAATACTCCAAAAGTAAATATCTGTTAGAACATGTACAAATGAGAACAATACAAAAATTTATTTTAGTGTTACATTATTATAATTACTATTATTTTTTATAAATTCACATCATTTTAAATATTTAATTTTTAAATAAAATATTTAACAAAACACTTTTCCTCATATATATTTGAATAAATTTTTCTTAACAATTGTATTACTATTGTTTTATTCAATTCATTTAAAAAAAATTAAATTAAAAGATAATAAAACAAATACCAATAAAATGAAAAGTTGCACCTCCTAACAAGTACGACTTCACGTGTAAAAGTTACACTACCTAACATAATTAAAATGAAAAAAAAAAAAAAAAAAAAAAAAAAAAAGGGACCTGTCTCTGCAAACAGAGATAACTCTCTCTTACAATAGAACCTTAATAGAGTTTTAGTGGATTAAAATTTCACTCTTATCCTATTTTTGAAAATAATAATAAAAGAAAACTTCTATTATATATGCCGTTATGTAAATACTGACTTAAGACAATAATTATAAGTCCATGATTTCCACGCTCCGAGATCTAATGGCAATCATCCCTCCGATGAGATTCAGGGTTTCAAGTCGATTGATAGTTTCTCCTTTCCCAAAACAAATACTAAAATGCAACGTGGTTTTTAGATGGTAAGAATCTCTCTTTATTAATTTTTGTGTATTTGAAGATTAGGGCTTTGATTGAGAATGTTTCTCGGTGATTTAGTTTTTGATTTTTCTTTTTTTTGTATTTTACTATTCTAAAAATAAATAAAATGTTAATTAATATAAAATATAAAATATATTTTATATATTTTATATAATTTTAAAATATTAAAAAACATATAATTATAATTATAGTCCAACACTCATAAATAAAGCCTAATCCTCTTAAAAAAATCTTAAAAACACACTTTCAAATTTTGTTAATGTCCTTACAAAAAATAATTTTCTTAAGTAATGATTCAAGGCTTAAATCTTTTTAAATATATCTTAACAGTATAAGTTTTTTTTTTTCTGACAATAATATCACGTTATAATGTAATCAATTTGGATACATTCAAATACCTTGTATTCTGATGTTCTTTTCTTTGAGGATTTCGTCGTAACAAGAATTCGTAATTCATCAGGAAAAGTTGTGGGTACCTCTACCATTAACGCTTTATACATATACCACAAAATAGATCAATTAAATCAATATATATAGCCAAAAAAGATAAAATTTAAAGATTAAAATGTGAAATTAAAGGGAATCCCTACTTACAACGGTAAATCCATTTTTGCCAAAACCGAAGCCGACATCCACTCCAGAATGCATTAGGTTGACATGACATTATAAAAACAGGAGATGTCAGTTTTCCTTCCACTGTAGCAACGCTCAACTTTGGGTTGCACCGAATTAGATCCAAGAAAATATCTGGTTTATAAGTAGGAGAAAAGTTAACCATCATCTACTCCACTACTGCAAAAATATACTTCAAGAAGTCAATTATGATCAACCCAGCTAGGGAAAACATTTTAGCACGTACTCAATTGAAAGCAAAATCAGACTGTAAAATTAAGAAACTGAAGGCTTTCAGGACTGCTGGGTTGTGTAAGTGGTGGCTTTTTTTTTTGTATTATCTCATAATATATAAAATATTAATTAAAATTAACTACAAATAATAAATTTACACTTGTAAATATGATAATATAAAAAACTGTGTAAAATATTCACAATCAAGTAAAACCTGAATTTAAATTTAAATTTTAGAGATTTATTTTTAGATAATGTTACATTTAATTTAAAAAAATTTCCGATTAAGATATAAGCTACTAGTGTGCCTAGCGGAGGCAGTGGGCCAGGCCACTAACTCCTCTCATGCATATTGGATCCCTAACACACAAGGAACAATAAAATAAAAGAGCTTGAATAGGCAACTACCTAACATTTTGTTTTGCAGACACCACCTCACGAGACAGATCCCATGATTGCCATTTTGTGGTAGGAAGACTTCGGATGGGGTGACAGAATAAAGGTAGTGTGTCGTCTCCTTGTGGCCTCTAGCACATGCTGCAGTTACTGGGATATAGCCTTCATCTTCTTCAATTGTAAGTAATTTCTCGTTCTTTTCGACTATGCATCTTGCTAGGTCTGTTATTCCCCTCTTTACAACGAAACTAAGAGCCGTCTCACCACCAATGCTAGTTGTAATCTTTTTTTCAAGATCTGTTTCCGACATCATCTTTATCAATTCCTTGGCAATCTTATATTTCCCGACCGCTATTGCAAAATGAAGAGCAGTGTAGCCTTTGTCTGATAATATTATTGTATCTAGTGGATGCCTGTCAAAAAACTGCTTAACAGCATTCCAGTCTCCTTTGCGAATGCTCTTTCCCAATTCCACAAGGTGAGAATCTTCAGTCATCTCATCTTCTTTCTCTGTGAATAATCAAAATACTAATTAAAATTATAAGTAGTTCAAAGTAAATTAGCTTAATTGAAACTTTATTCAAATCAATAAAAAATACCACCATCCGATCCCTCACAATAAGTCATTTCAGTTATCTCATCTTCTTTCCCAGCCAATAATTAAGATATTATATTCAAATTATACTTCAGTCAAGATACAATTACTTTAGTCAGGAATCTCTTTAAATCAATCTTACCATCCGATCCCCCCAAGCCATTTTCTGGTTTCCATTTAAATTGCCCCCCTTGATGTCTTGTAAATAATTAAAATACTAATTAAAATTATAAGTACTTCATAGTAAGTTAGTTTAATTGAGACTGTTCAAATCAATAAAAATTACCACCATCCAACCCCTCAACATGAGTCATTTCAGTTATCTCTTCTTTCCTTGCCAATAATTAAGATATTATAATCAAATTATACTTCAATCAAGATACAATTAATTTAAATCAATCTTACCATCCGATCCCCTCACGTCATTTTCTGGTTTCAATTTAGATTGCCCCTCTTGATGCATTTTGGCTAATTTATTCCAAACAACTTTTGCCGAACCGACTATGCAGTATGAATTACATGTAGAGCTGCACCATTCTTTTTCCTCTAATTTCCTACAACGTCCAAAAAAGAAACCAAATCAAAATATTAATTATTCCCAGATTCAAGGATGAACCAAAGGTCTTGAACTAATAGATAGTTTTCCATGTACATTCTCCAATCTTCATAATTAAAATTACAGCAGTACTTGAATTACTATGTATTGCCATTACAAAATTGTCAAAGCATAAAAAGTATATATAATATTAATTATAACAGAAAAGCATATATAACTATAATTTCATATTCTACACCTTGCAGTAGCTATATATAAACAGACTTGATCAGGCAAGCAATCTTCTATAGAATGGTACACACTTCAGTAAGGTAGAGAGCATGAAAACCAAATGTAAATTGTCAGGCTGTCATAAGGCCATACCAATAATCAAAGAATTAACTTTCTTGTAATATACTTACTATATGGAAGAGATCTCTAGACTTGGATTCTTGCTGTATAGATAGAGATTGCAGGTGTTCCTTGGTTCTAAATATGAAATGAAAAAGAGGGACATGTAATATAATTATAAGTGGAGAAGTAAAAACGAAAAAATAATCAAAAGAAACCAAACCAAGGGAATACAAATTTGGGACACAAGATTACAACCAAATTCAATGATGAAGCCCTTGAGAGTGAGAGAAAGTGTAGAGCAAAGGTTTAGGTCGTGCTTGCTATGCATGGTGTGGCTAGGTCTTGAAGAAATATTTAAACCACAAAAAAAGTAAAGAAAGAATAAAATAGAACCACAGAATATATTTCTTTCTTCTGATTGTAAACACTCAGTAATCCATTACAAAGTAATTAAGAGAAAACAAATTCAGTAAAACGTAAAGAGTTCCATAGGATAAGTTAAGCAATTCGACAATATTAAAATTAAAAGCTAATTGCATTACATTGATTCACAGATGAGCATGCATGATCAATAATTCACTACTGAGGAGACTGACTTGTTCAGAGCTCAAAATTACAATGAAATATAAGGCACAATGTACCTAAAATAATAAAATGTTAGAATACACAGCATTAATTTGAAGGACCTATAAAATAATACCAAGGAAAAAAGTTAAAACTAATAAGCCAATTATGACCTATCATTCCATCGACCTATCTTTATACTTACCATACTAACTAGACTTCAATCCATGCTTTGTGCGGTTTGTCTACATTTTTTTTAATAATTATAAATTTTTATAATAATAATTAACTATAAATATATTTATCTTGTTTTTTTTTCCTTTTTGATAATTAGTGATTTTAAATGTATTGATTCAAAAAAATATATATTAACGGTAAAAGTGGAAAAAGATTTAAATGTAAAAATTTAATCAATTTTATTTTTTTTTAAAAGGACAAATTTTCATAATTTGTTACTATATTAATATATTATGAAAATTTGTCAATCATATCTATCTATTCTTTCGTTTTATATTAGTAAGTTGTTGGATGTCATCCATTCCCTCTCTTGTCATCTACTCCTTAATTACCTCCTATCAGTATCTATTCACATGCGATATTCTTTTCAATTTCTCACACTAAGATCGCATCTCTATATATCTCTCAATGAAGCACATTTCAATTCTCCAGTTCCCTTTATCATCATACACTTACGTTATTATTATGTATTTTAATTTTGACTTAACTTAGTACATGTACCTCTCTTCATTTCCCTTTCTTAAACTAATTTTTTTTCACATTATTTTAGGGTTTTCATTACTTTTTCGCATATCTTCATGTTTGTATTTCTTTGTAAATCCTTCTCAATATTAGTAATTTTTTTTATTATTCTTTATCCACTATAGCAAATCTGCCATATACCTACACTATTTTTACCTACATTGACAATTATATAGGTATAGGTATCTATGCCTACAATTTACTAATTTGTATGTATATGGTCTAAATATA